CAGCACGTCCAAACTCACCGTGCATGGTCAATGGCACATGCAGCAAACGATTTCCGAAAAAGTTTGTCGATTCAACTACTGTAGATGAGGAAGGGTATCCACGGTACAGGCGTCGAGATGATGGTAAGCATATTGAGAAGAACGGTGTCGTTCTCAATAATGGTTATGTTGTGCCTCACAATCGTCGTTTGTTGATGAAATATGGAGCGCATGTTAACGTTGAGTGGTGCAATCAATCACGATCCATAAAGTATTTATTCAAGTATGTTAACAAAGGAAATGATCGTGTAACTGCTTCATTCTATCAAAGTTCTGGAGATGGAGATGTTGAAAAACCTTTGGATGAGATTAACATGTACTATGATTGTCGTTATGTGTCCTCCTGTGAAGCTGCTTGGAGGTTGCTTGGTTTTGAGTTGCAGTACAAGAGGCCTGCAGTACAACGATTGAGTTTCCATCTTGAAGGGCAGCAGAACATTATTTTCGAAGATGATGATGACTTAGAGGATGTTTTGAACAAACCAACTGTCAATGAGAGCCAATTCCTTGCATGGTTCGAGGCGAATAAGATTTACCCAGCGGCTCGACAACTTACTTATGTTGAGGCACCGTCTAAATTTGTTTGGGACGCAACCGACAGAGAGTGGAGGCCTAGAAAAAGAGAAGATGGTACAATAGGCCGCCTACACTACGTGAACCCTGGCTGCGGAGATAACTACTATTTGAGATGTCTGTTAACTGTTGTTCGCGGTGCTACATGCCACCAGGACTACATGAAAGTTGGCGAAACTCAGTATCTTAATTATAGAGATGCTTGCTACGAACACGGATTGTTGGATGATGACAAAGAGTTCATAGACGGTATAACCGAAGCAAGTCACTGGGCATCTGCGGAGTCTCTTAGGCGTATGTTTGTGTCATTGTTGGTTTCCGGTTCTATGGGTAGACCAGATGACGTATGGCAACATTGCTGGATATTTTTATCTGATGACGTTTTATATAGACAACGAAGATTGTTCAATAACGATGGTAAATATTCTTTTTTTATATTTTCAATTAATCTTTACATTATTATCAATTATAATTTTTTCATCTAAATTTAAAATATTTTAGATTTGCGGCTCACTGAAGATGCTATCAAGAATCTGACACTTGCTGAGATTGAGACTATGTTGCGAATTCAAGGCGCAAGTCTTCGTGATTATTCATCCATGCCTTATCCGGACAGAGATAGTATGCATAACACTTCAAACCGCCTTATATTGGATGAGCTTAATTACGATCGAGAGGAAATGGCTGTGGAGCACGAATCCCTTCTTCGGAGAATGACTGATGAGCAGAAAAGTGTTTATTCAAAAATTATGTCCGCTGTTGATTCAGGAGTTGGTGGAGTATCTTTTGTATACGGTTATGGTGGTACTGGGAAAACCTACTTGTGGAGGACTATGTCTGCGGCGTTACGGTCGAAGGGTCAAATTGTTCTATGCGTAGCGTCGAGTGGAATTGCATCGCTTTTATTGCCCGGTGGAAGAACTGCACATTCTCGATTTCGAATACCGTTGAGTATTCATGAAAATTCGTCGTGTGATATCAATCAGGCAAGTCCTCTTGCGGAACTAATAATTTGTTGCTCTCTAATTATATGGGACGAGGCGCCGATGATGCACAAATATTGCTTTGAAGCAGTTCAGACATCACTGCAGGCTATAATGGGCGCAGTTGACCCTTTGAATAGTAGCAAGCCCTTTGGAGGCAAACCGATTGTTTTTGGTGGAGACTTCAGACAAATTCTTCCAGTCATTCCAAAGGGTAGCCGTCAGGACATTGTCAATGCGACTATTAATGCATCCAGTATTTGGACGGACTGTACTGTGCTCCGGCTTACCAAAAACATGCGTCTTCATAGCATTTCTGATTCTGAAGAGCGTGTCGAGGTGGCTGCATTTGCGGATTGGATTGCGAGTATTGGAGATGGTACTATAGGAGGACCAAATGATGGTTGTGCTGCAATCGATATTCCAGATGATATAAGATTGGATCCCTCAGATGATCCAATTGCTACGATTGTAGAAAGTACCTATCCAATGTTCAAAAACGCAACTGACGATCCGAGTTATTTGAAGGATAGGGCAATATTAGCTCCCACGTTGGAGGTTGTTGAGTCCATCAACCAATACATGTCCGAGTTGAATTCTTCTGAAGGTCGTACGTACTTGAGCTCGGACAGTACTTCTAAGGCGGATTCCGGAAATGATTTCTTGGCAGATCTCCACACGCCAGAATTTTTGAATAGCATCAAGTGTTCTGGTACTCCCAACCATGAGTTGCACCTGAAGATAGGAACTCCCGTAATGTTGTTGCGCAATATGGATCATTCTATGGGACTGTGCAATGGGACTCGATTGGTTGTGACTAAACTATCTACTCATGTCCTCGAATGCAAGATATTGACAGGAGATCATGCTGGCGAGAAGGTCTTGATTCCTAGGATGAATATCACTCCATCCGATACTAGGGTTCCATTTAAATTCCAGCGGCGGCAGTTCCCACTTATGGTTTCGTATGCCATGACCATTAATAAGAGTCAGGGACAATCTTTATCGCACGTTGGTCTTTTCCTGAAGAAACCCGTTTTTAGTCATGGCCAATTATATGTTGCTGCTTCGCGTGTAAATAATAGAAGGGGGTTGAAAATATTAGTTTGTGATAATGAGGAGTTACCAAATAATCAAACTCATAATGTTGTGTACAAGGAAGTTTTTAATAATATATGATTGTTACCGAATTTTTTATGATTCAATAATGTTCCCATGTATTTTAATGATTTCAATTTCGATCCTAATGCACGTGAGGTTATATTATTCTTTCAAATTTTACATCCCGTGCATCGCACGGGTTACGTACTAGTTAGAAAAAGAAAAAGAAGAAATAAACCCAATTGGAATATTTTTCACGCTCATTCATTATTAAATAGTGATGAAGCGTAATTGAATAAAGAATAGTTTGTAGAAAATTTAATAATTCTTTAATATGAACTAAATGGTGATTTCATAAAGAAATAATAAAATATTAATTTGTAGTTATTAATGTGTAAATGAATAAATATTAAATTTTATAGAGGATTGTATCATTGATTTCCAATTTAAAAAAATTATATTGCAAAATGTAGGTGGATAGAGTAAAAAAGTTGAATATAAAAATGACACAATTTTTAATAGATGTGTGGATGAATTTAAATGTATATGTAAATGTACCCTATAGTTTAAGGAGGCCTGTGTATGTTAACTCGTTTATTTTAATTAAAAATACGTCAGGACTTTTAACATATCAAAAAAAATTGAACGAAAAAGCCTAAAATGTGTTTCTCCAGTAAAAAATAAAATATACAATTTTGGCTATGTTTGGTAAAACTAGCTGATAAGCTAGCTTATAGCTTATCAATAATTTTTTAGCTTATAGCTTATGACTTATAGCTGAAAAGCTAGCTTATATGATAAAAGTGTTTGGTAAAATTAGCTGATAAGCTAGCTGGAATAAAAAATTCAACTAGCTTATTTGAAAAGTTACCTAAAGAAGTTTATCAAATAAGCTCGAGCTTTTTAAAAAAGCTCACCTTACCAAACGAGGCTTTTTTTTAATACAGGAAGCTTAAAAGCTAACCAAATAAGCTATAAGTTAGCTTATTTGACTTACCAAACACAGCAAAAAAGAGCCATGATAGGTAATATAAGGATGAATTTCACCCTCCCATCTATCATTTGTATTGTGGACATCTTTCAAAAACTGTTATATCAATACACACTCACATGGGTATGTTATCTAACAATTAAAAATTCGGTTTGAGCACCATTATTATATCAATAGATTCAATACACACTCACATGGATATGTAATTGACAATTTCGATACCAATAATCATACCACACTAAGTGTGTGATTGTATATGAATTGAACTAGTAAAAAACTAGTTTTTTCTTAATTATAGTTAAGTTTGAAAAAAGGTGACATGGTTAACTGTTAGTGAATATATTAAATAATATTTAAAATAAAATAATTAGAGTTAATTTGATATAAAAGGAAGAGAAAATGATTGAAAGTAATGGTTAGTTAAAATTATGTGAGTGGATGAATAGTGAATTAAAGTTGATGTGATGTGTAAGAATGATTGGTTGATATTATTTAATTAAGTTAAATTTGAGTTTTGATTAGTTTTTTTACTGTACAATTCATATACAATCGCCTCCTAAAATATCACTCGAATTTTTGTATGATTATGAAGAATAGAGTAATAAAGGACGAAACTTCTTTTTTATTGATGTTTTGAGAGAATTTATCTCCTTTTTTGAAGATCCATCATCTACTCCCCTACAATAATTGAGGCCATGTATATATGAAGCCTAACATGCAGACAACAAATAATAAGGAATAAAGTAATATAATGACATTTAATGTGACGTGGTCCCCGTGGGGTCCGATTATGAGATTTGACGGTTTCGATAGACGTCTGTCTTGTCGATAAATGCGTCCTCCAAAGACGGCTTATTCACGGTATTTAGATCGGTCAATTTGTTAGATTTTGCATGGAAATAGACGAGCTCGATATTTGGGAACATATTCATTATATGTGGTCAAAGTCGCATCGGGAATAATCCAGGTCGGTTTAGAATAGAACCGATCGGTATATGAAGATCAACTCGGAAAACTTGTCGGTTATATATTTATTTGTTGCGTATTTTAGCTTCTCGTTTATTTTGCACATGTCACTTTTATATTAATCGGGTTAAATTGGGTATCAACAGACAATTAAAATATCGATTTGAACACTAAGGTTTAATTCTCTATGATATAAGTCGTAGAGAAAATTTAGTTGGACACATAGTTTCTTTATATACCTTCATTTATTGTATAGTTTCACATTTTTCTGACATCAATCTTCAAGCTGAACAAACTTGAATTTTATACCTTCATTTATTGTATATTTCCACATTTTTCTAACATCAATCGTCAAGCTTGACAAGCCTGGATTTCTTGAACACTCGACTGGGCGTCACTGGCCTAGTCGGGTGCAGCTCATTATAGGCCTGTAAACGAGCCAAGCCGAGCTCGAGCTTAGGGTCCTTGAGTCCTTACTCGTCAAATAAATGAGCTAGAAATCGAGTTTGAGCTCAACTCATTCATCACTATTAACGAGCCGAGTTCGAGCCTTAAAGAGCCCATTTCGAGCTTTAACGAGTCGAACTATAGAAAATTGTAAAAAAAAAAAATTTATTTTCGAGTCTTATCGAGCCGAGCCGAACTCGGTGCGTTAATCAAACGAGCTTCAAATAAGCTCGAGCTCAAGCTGAGCCATGATCGTTTAATTTAACAGCACTAAGCTTAACTACACTTCGATGGGCACTGATAGTTCGAACCTTAACGAGTCGAGCCATGGTCGTTTATTTAAACAGCACTAAGCTCAACTACACTTCGATGGCCTTTGATGTGTGCAAGGCATTTGGGTGTTTGTCTGTTTGTGTTTCCATACATGGTATGTGTTATGTTTTTGCTGCTTTCATTTGATGGGACTCTTTGGTTATGGCCTGCAAAATGGCTTTGTCATTCAAGAGATTTTATTGTTGTTGTTACATTCCCTGAGATTTGTTTTAACAATCTACTGAAATCAGTTTAATTCATTGCTTCCTTTTTTCCATTCTTCTGTTTCCATTGAGAAGTTTTCAGACAAAAAAGTTTTCAACACCACACAGCTACTCCTGGTAATAAAAGAACAAACAATATTGTCACTGTTTTGGAGACCAATATTGAGAAAAAAGGATAATAAAATTCACATCACCAAAAGAAATCACACCTGGTAATACCAAATATAGCAATCAAAACAATCCTTAATCAAGTATCAAAATATGACACAAAACAACATACCATATCAAATACCCCATAAAACCCGAAATCTATTCAAGAACTATAGGCGAATCTTTTGTCTTACCCAACTCCTCGAGCTCAGGAGGTAAATCGAACCTGAGGATATGCACCTTGAACTTGGGCTCTCGAGGGTTCGAATCTATCAGCTCAAAAACACAAGCATCACCCTCTTTCAAACGATTGCCGTTCACAAATTTTTTCCACCCAGAACTGAACCTTGGCCGAGATGAATCTTTAGGGAAAAGCACTTTCCAGTTTTAATGAGGCCTAACATGTGGGCAACAAATAAATGACATTTAATGTTATGTGGCGCAATGGGGACCAATTATGGCATTTGACGGTTTCGATAGGCGTCTGTCTTGTCGATAAATGCATCCTCTGAAGACGGCTTCTTCACGGTATTCGGATCGGTCGGTTTGTTAGATTCTGCCCGGCTCTGTAGTAGACGAGCTCGATATTTGGGGACATATTCATCATCTATGGTCAGAGTCGCATCGGAAATAATCCAGGTCAATTTAGAATAGAACCGATTGGTATATGAAGATCAACTTGAAAAACTTGTCGTTTATATATTAATTTGTTGCGTATTTTAGCTTCTCATTTATTTTGCCACATGCCACTTTTGTATTAATCGCGGCCAAATTGAGTATCAACAGGCAATTAAAATATCGATTTGAGCACTAGGGTTTCTATGATATAAGTCGTAGAGAAAATTTAGTTGGACACATAGTTCTCTATATACCTTCATTTATTGTATAGTTTCACATTTTTCTGACGTCAATCTTCAAGCTGAACAAGCCTGGATTTTATCAGTTTTGTTATGAAGTCAACAGTTGGCTCCATAGTAGAGTCAATCTTTTATATACAACAAGTAAACCATACCATATTAATAAAATTATTAGTATTATTTAAGTAATCAGATAATATGGTATGATATCTTCTATATACAACAAGTAAACCATACCATATTAATAAAATTATTACTATTATTTAAGTAATCAGAGAATATAGTATAATTTACTTGTTGTATATAAAAAGTTGGCTCCACTATGGCCTAAATGTTGACTTCATAGCAAAACTGTGAATTTTATACATTCATTTATTTTATACTTCCACATTTTTCTGACATAAATCTTCAAGCTTGACAAGCTTGGATTTCTCGTCACACTCGACTGGCGTCACTGGCCTGATCAAGTCGGGTGCAACTTATTATAGGTCTGTAAACGAGCCGAGCCGAGCCGAGCTCGAGCTTAGAGTGCTTGAGTCCTTACTCGTCAAATAAATGAGCTAGAAATCGAGTTTGAGCTCGGCTCATTCATCACTATTAACGAGCCGAGTTCGAGCCTTAAAGAGTTCATTTCGAGCTTTAAAGAGTCGAATTATAGAAAATTATTAAAAAAAAAAAAACTATTTTCGAGTCTTATCGAGTCGAGCCAAACTCGGTGCATTAACCAAACGAGCTTCAAATAAGCTTGAGCTCGACTCGTTAAGGCTCGAGAGCTCGAGCCAACCCATGGCCGTTTAATTTAACAACACTAAGATCAACTACACTTTGATGGCCTCCAATAGCTCGAGCCGAACCATTATCGTTTAATTTAACAGCACTAAGATGGCCTGTGTGCAAGGCATTTGGGTGATGTTTGGGTGTTTGTGTTTACATACATGGTATATGTTATGTTTTTACTACTTTCATTTGATGGGACTCTTCTGTTATGCCCTGCAAAATGGCTTTCTCATTCAAGAGATTTTTTTTTTTTGGTTATATTCCCTGAGATTTGTTTTAACAATCTACTGAAATCAGTTTAATTCATTGCTTTCTGTTTTCCTTTTTTCTGTCTCCATTGAGAAGTTTTCAAACAAATACAACAACAACAACAACATAGCCTTTTAGTCCCAAGCAAGTTGGGGTAGGCTCGAAGAAGTTTTCAAACAAATGCAGTACAATTTTCAGTACCTCACAGCTACTCCTGGTAATAAAAGAACAAACAATATTGTCACTGTTTTGGAGACCAATATTGAGAAAAAAAGATAACTAAAATCACATCACCAAAAGAAATCACACCTGGTAATACCAAATATAGCAATCAAAACAATCCTTAATCAAGTATCAAAATATGACACAAAACAACACATCATATCAAAATATCCCATAAAACCCGAAATCTAATCAAGAACTATAGGCAAATCTTTTGTCTTACCACGGGTATCATCCAACTCCTCCAATTCCTCCAACTCCTCCAACTCCTCGAGCTCAGGAGGTAAATCGAACCTGAGGATATGCACCTTGAACTTGGGCTCTCGAGGGTTTGAATCTATCAGCTCAAAAATACAAGCATCATCCTTTTTCAAATGATTGCCGATCGAAAAATTTTTCCAGCCAGAACCGAACCTCGGCCGAGATGAATCTTTAGGGAAATGCACTTTCCAGTCCTTGCCACGGTGCCGAAGAATGACATGTGTCTCTACATTAGGAAGCATTGACACGGCACTAACAGGAAGGGCCTGTCACATAAAAAAATGGTACAAT